CACGTTCACTCTACGGTGTTGTTTACCTTCTGTGATGCGCGAGCTGATGACGTCAAGTCATCATCATCACTACTTCACGTCAAGACGAGTTAACTTTTTTTTTTCTCAACTTTGTGTGGAAAAATGCGGAGATTATGCGGCCTTTTGATAAATATGAGACCTTTTAAAAATCTGCGCCATTTTGCTGATTATGCGGTAAAGGATCGCGTTTTTCTGGAGGGTCTAATAATATTATGTACACTTCTAATGAAGTGAAATTAAAGTCTACTTAAATAAAGCATACCAATAGTGTATTACAAAGGACTTCAAATATCTAACTTTTTAAAAGTAGACTAATGTACCACTTTAGGTATTTGCAAGTTAATATACTTTTTAAAAGTACAATGAAGTACAAATGAAGAAAAACATATATTAAAGTGCACTTTTTATACGAGTACTTAAATACACTTCTAATGAAGTGAAATTAATGTACACGTTAATAAAGCATGCTTAGGGTATTACAAAATACTAAAAAATAATTGTACTTTCGATCAGTATACTTAATGACCACTATAAGTATTGGCTAATTTAGTACGTAGTAGCGAAAGTGTACTTACTTTGCACCTTTACCAGCTTTAATAAACATGTTAATGCATCAATAATTATAATCAAAACATAATATATTATTCTGAAATGGTCCTATATCTACATAATAAGTACTTCTACTTTTGGTACTTTAAGTATATTTTGAAGCTAATACTCTTGTACTTTTTTCTTAAGTAACATTTGCAATGCAGGATTATTACTTGTAGCAGAGTATTCATACACTCTGGTATTTATACTCAGGATCTGAGTAGCCTACTTCTCCCACCTCTGAATACATTCATCACATTAACTGCTGCGTTGCTCCATCATGCCCTGCCATGACGCAGAGAACCCGGAAGACGTGTGTTTGCTGTCAATGCCAGCGACAGAGGACTGAGAGCTGAAAACCCGCATTTAAGACAAGATGGCAGGACTGCCCCGCAGGATCCTTAAGGTAACTATTACACACTTTAAACAGCAGCAAAGGTCCCTTTTCTGTCAGGGTGGAAACTCTACATACACTGTCTGAACTCCCGGTGCTGGTTCACAGTTTTGTTTGCTAACGTTAGCACCTAGCACGCTAAAGCAACTTCCGTTTAATTCCTGTGCCCAGATAGCGAAACACTTTGGGGTTAAAAATACACCAACCTTTTGTGTAAACGGAGCATGGATGTGGTCTGTGTCGGGGCCATATCTTCCAAATGTAGTTCTCAGGCACAACAGTGTTCTCTAATAGCCCTTGCTCAGATCGTGGTGCTGACTGAATAGCTGGCTAACAATGCTAACAGTGCTAGCAACGGCTAGTTTGTGAGTGAATGATAATAAAACAACAGGAACAAGCTAAAGCGACCCTGGTAGCCTGATGATCTCTGTGTCATATTTTTCATACATGAATTTTGCTCATCAGGGATAATCGCCTTTTATAATCTTTTTGTTTTGTTTGTTTTTTCGCATAGTTTAGCCTTTTCATTAAGTGAAGTTCCTAAGTATGTACCATGTTGTATACATTAATGCGGTTTCCCATCCTTAGTGAGTATTCACATAACAACATATTATAGATGAAACGTTTGATACTTGAAGAGAAATCACTTCCACTGCAGACTTTGGCCCCTGACTTCATGTGGCAGCATCAGAAAGTGATGTTGGCCATATCCAAAACGAGCTGCTCAGTATAGGTTTCTAAAGATAATACTCAATTACTAGCCTAATAAAAAAAAACAAAGCAATTGCATCATAACTCAAATTTCTCAGAAAATATGATGTGAAATAATTTGAAGGAATATATTTTTCAAGATAGTGAATGGTGAGGTTTTTATTTACTTTACATTACCAATGAGTTAATTGCAATTAACACACTGGACTCAAATGTTGAACCTTCAGGTTACAAGCTTCTCTAAAATGTATGCTCCTTTACCCCAATAATAAGGTAAGTGTAAGATTAACTTGGAACCAAAAAGTCGATTCAAACTTAGTCATTCACCCATTTTATCATCTTTATTTTTCTACTCCTGCGTGCCAACACCTAATGATTCCTCTCTAACTATTGGGGTAATGTTATGCATTCATGTATACATTGTCAGTAAACATAGCTACACCTTTTTTATTTTTTTTATTTAAAATCCTTTTACTCTCCCTTTCACTAGTTATTTAAATAACTAGTTGTTAAATACGCAATACTTAACACTAGTCAAGTATATACTTTAGATATAAGTATACAAACAATATATTTTACCACACTTAGGATTTATTCATTTTATTACCAGAAAACATGCAAATGTGCTATGCTATATGCTATATCGCCCAGCCGCAACAGGGACATGAATGATGTTTGAGATCAGGCTGCACAGGTGGGTGAGTCAGAAGGTCACAGACTGGTGTTGGTGGGAAAAGGTGGACGTTTTGGGAACAGTACTCAGCGGACGGAGCCCTTGATCCCTCGGAGCGTGTGACTGGGACTGGGAGCCCCTCTCGTCTGTGTTTTCACTGCATGGTTTTGTCTGTGGGTTATCTGAAACATTTCAGGAATCTCACTCCCAGTTGCATTCAGGAAAGGAACGGCAAAAACAAGAGTGCCGGCTGTTGGCATGCTTTACTTCATGCTGTTTTCTCATGCATGGATGTTATGTTATTTATTTATTATTGTTCTGTTGATTTCAGGTATGAACAGAACAGGGGGATTATAGGTTTTAAGATTGTGAATATACATTTAGAAAACAGTTTGGAGAATGGAGACCATAAAACAGTAGCTCAAATCAAGCTATCTAAATAGTTCATAGCCTATATATAGTAGCTGCACACCACTGCCATGATGTCCTATTCCTTTGCACTTTTAATACGTTGCTGTTGTCGAATGCATCTATCAGGCGTGTCACTCATGCTGCCTCATGCCTACCACAATAGATATCAGATACCTGCTCCTCTTTCACTGTAGAGGTGTGTTCTTCTGTTAGTCACACGGCTGACACTGAGGTACTTTGCTGCAGTGGTTGTTGGAAATGAAAGTAATGGCTGACTGTGGAGCGGTGGCTGAGACAGTGTCACCTCTAGCAGACAGTTACAGAGTGCACAGAGATTCAGCATTTTGCCTCTACTGCAGGCAACGCTACCGCCCCCCCCCCAGGATAAAAGCCAAGCAGACAATAGTAAACCTTCTACCTGCCATCTATTGCAATGTCTGGTCGGAGAATAATGGTGATTCACATCTTGTTTGCAACTCTCAGTTGTTGGCAGAAGAATAATAATTTTGAATAAATAATTGTAATAAACAGGTTTTACCTATATGTAATTACAAATCCTAAGGAGGATTCATCTAATTATGGGGAAGGTAGTTGTTGGCAATACACTTTCAGCATATTGTTATTCAATAGTTCTGAGAGAAACCATACTTTGGCCAATTGTAGCTCAAGAAAGTGCTAATGTTGGCTGTTCTGCAAATGCAGACGGAATTAATGCTGGAGTATCCTTCAGGAAAAATTCCTTATCCAGCAATTGTAAATGCTGCCTATTCTGCTAAGACAAAGCAAAGTCAGACTTAATCATCACGAGAGTTCGACAATATAAGAAAAAGGAGAGAAAATGTTTAGAGCCCTAAATCAAAATGTATTATCTCAGATGGCTTCACAGGCCCTGTATTTGGCAAAGTAAACAAGAAAGAAATGTATAAATGTAAAAACAAAAAGGTGATAGTCTTCTTGAGTATCATTTTTGTACTTTGAAATGAATGACTAGTACTCCTACAGGTTACTGCATAAAGTGTATATGCCTGTGGTTTCCTGGGGAGAGGGGCTGAGTCATTGTTTCTGATCAGAGTTTGATTTAGCACCATGATGCCGTCGGCACGGGATTCACAGAATGTGTCATAATGAGTGATCCCGGTTGAGCTGTTTGCATACAAATAAAACCAGTTTCCAACAGTGCAGTTATCTGTAATGCTATATGAGACATTCCTAGATGTTACAAGCCACAGTTGTATTTGTAGCAGAAATAATGTATTACTTGTCATTAAATTATGAAGTGTCAGCACTCACTGAAGGAGATGCGCTTGAAATGCTACTTCTAAATGTGTACGGTGTGAAAGATGCTTTGTGCACCTACCCTACCTTCACGCTAGGAGTTGCATCCTTCGCTACAATATTTAGCAGGTGGTGCATTGTGGTGATAACGATGCATTTTGCAGCACAAGGTTAAATCACTTTATGTTACTGATAAATATTATTTAGGTTAATGTCTTCCTGTCTCTTTCTGTGCCAGGAAACTCAACGCCTGATTGCAGAGCCTGTCCCAGGCATCCGGGCTGAGCCAGATGAAGGCAACGCCCGCTACTTTCATGTGGTCATCTGTGGACCTCAGGACTCACCTTTTGAGGGGGGCGTTTTTAAACTGGAGCTCTTTTTACCCGAAGAATATCCCATGGCAGCTCCTAAAGTACGCTTCATGACCAAAATATATCACCCCAATGTTGACAAGTTGGGGAGAATCTGTCTAGACATTTTGAAAGGTAAGTCAACACTCTGTGATGTAACAGTTTATGCTTGGCTAGCTGTGTGTGGTTTACATTGTGCATAAAGGGCAGGTTTTCAACTGACAGAAAGTGTTTATTTTCCCCTGTTCTTTCTGTTGAGTCAGGCTTGTTACTGTAGAAACAGCGCTGTACGTTCTCTGTCCTCTGATGTTCCCCTGTGAATGAAGTGAGGGATTTGACAATTTTATCTTGCTCAAAAGATCAAGGGCCTCTTATGTTACACTTGTGACCCCCGACTGAAGCTTTTCGCCAATACTACTGCACCGTCTCTTCACTCCTGCAGCTTTCAAAAAGATATCATCCCTCTGCTTTTCCTGGCCTCAATTAGACTTTTATTAATCCCTGTTCTTTTATTTTTCAGATAAATGGTCACCGGCTCTGCAGATCCGCACAGTGCTGCTATCAATCCAGGCATTACTAAGTGCACCCAACCCTGATGATCCCCTCGCAAATGACGTTGCAGAGAAGTGGAAGTCCAATGAAGTTGAAGCCATAGAAACAGGTGAGGGCTCTCATCTGGCTGTGTTCAACAAAGGGTTTTAAATACATTGTTCTAACATTGAGTAATGAACCATATTTGTTACCTGAGGTCATTGCTGGTTATTTCAGTAATGGCAACCATACATTCTAAAATTGAATTTGCAAGCAGGAATGAGGCAACCTGGTTGATCTCCCCCAATGTATTGTTTACAAATATATAATTACATTTTGTGATCTTTTTGTTTAATTTGGAGGGATGAGGGATTTTGTAAATGTGTCTCAATGCAGGCTTTGAACAAACCACTTTGGTAAAATGAACGTCATTCATATTGCTTTTGTTTTCTTACTCTTTCCAGCCAAGTCATGGACCAGACTTTATGCTGGAAGCAGAAACGAGGTGTAGAGCAGCCCTACAAGTGGAAATCAAGTGTGAACACAACTCCTCATGTTCTGCCTCCTCCTACTTCAATTACATTTAAAGGACACAGTCTTAAATATATATAAACATATATATATATATATATTATAAAAATAAACGTGAATATATTGTAAAGGAAAAAAACTCCTGCTGACAATTGGTGATTTAAATGCATACTAGTAATGAAATTACTCGTCTTTGTCCGTACTTACTACTGTTCAAATGCATGAGCTGAGATCTACTCACCTGGCTTTCTTTGTCCATTGATTTTAGAAAGCTTTCACCAACGTGAAAACAAGCATGTTGAGGGGGCAAAAGGGTGTATGTGTGGGGGGTGGGTTTTGGGGGCCCTGGAGTTGTGGAATGGGCGGAGATTGACTAGATGTGGTTAACATTGTATAATCTTAACATTTATTTTAACGTTATTTCCTTGTGTTGCTGCTTTTTTTCCAAGCAGCAAACTAGCCCACTGTATGTTGACCCTCAGCTGGAGGCCATCCAGAGTTGTGTGCTGTGTAGATGGCCCAACTGGACACATAATCTATCGTAGCCGTGCTTCTTCACATTTGACTGCATTGAAAATTAAATGTTATGACTAAAACCCAAACTGAGCCTGCTACTGTCACATTAACTGTTTCAACCACTCTCAATGTAAACTGTAGGCTTGTTGATGGCGTGAGAGAGTGAGGAGGGCGGAGAGGACATTGTGGATCTTTCCTTAGTTTTAGCACATATGTTTTATTACCATATCAAGTCTTTTATATGTGAATCTTTCTTACTATTGCCATACTAAGTACTCTGCTTTCTCTCTGTATGCCCTCTCAGTTTAATGCTATAAGACTCAGTGGTTTACTTTGCATTTATTTCACAAAGCAGCGGTTACATTTGAGCTGTTAGTTGTTTGATGACCTGGTGGTGGACAGGGTGTGGTTGGTGGGTGAGGAGATGCTGGGCTGTTACGGGATCAAACTCCAAAACATCATGAAGGCTTTCACTCAATTGTTTTGACTGTTTTTTGGCCTTAAAAGTCTGTATTTA